AACCTTGGGATTGAGATTGGCCAATTACTTGAAGTGACACAGCTCTAAGTGGCCGAGCCAAAACTTGACTTCACCTGAGACTTCCAGCTTCCGTCTCTTCCCCACTCATACTGCTGATGCAGACCTCTTGGGAACGCCAGAGGGAAACTGGCTTAGAGTCAGACCTTCTCTCCCAGTGCATGCCCTTTCTGCTGCTCTATATTTATTTTAAAGCCTTTCTGGGGAGGGTTCCACTTGTCCCCAAGTAACATGTTTAATTCCTCACAGTTGAGAGCTCAGTTTCATATCTCACAGAAATCCATAGCCCAGCACCACTGACCCCATCCCCAACGCAATCTGATCCTAGTATCTGCTCTTTTTTGCCCTCTTGCTTTTCTTTTTATAACATCCACACTCACCCTTGGGTCTTAAGATTTCTTACTCAATGGTGGTTACTGCTTTTCTTTCACTCTGTAACTCGGTTTTATAGGAAACACATTCAGAATCAAATGAAAAATGGGGAAAGGCATAAAATAGCAATTTGCACAAAGAGAAACAAAAAGAACATACCAACACGTGTGATTATAGACTCTCTGGGGTTGGACAAATCCAAACGACACTAAGCTGGCGACTTTTTCCCTTAGCCTGATGACTCCCAGTGCTGGTAAGCTTGTACTAAAACACTTCTCTGCTGGTGGGAGTATAAATTAGGGTGACTATGCTTCCATCCATTTCAGATTCACAGAGCCTTACACATCAGGAGCCACACAAATAACGACTCATATTTTTCATCAATGTACTTTTGTTCCTGGAAATTATCTGATGAAACAATTGAGTCAGTTAAAAAGCAGCAAAATAAAACCTAGACGAATGCAAATGTGGTAGCTATAATAATTTGAAAGTTAAAAATAAAAATAAAAAACAATTTAACAACTTAAATCTAGAACACTAGAGAACAGATTGGACAGATGTTGATGTCAACTGAGCACACAGTGCTATGACACCGTTTAAAACTCTTAACAGAAATGTGCTGTATGATGACAGTGTGTGAGGACATGAACTACAAGAAACCAGAGAGTCAGGCACAGGTTATAGGTGCACTCCATCGTAATCTCAGCATTTAAGAGGCTGAAGCAGGAAGATCATGAGTTAAGGAAAGCCTGGGTCACACAGCAGTACCATCTTCAAAACAGAAGGGAGAGAGGAAGGGAGGACTAAAAAGGGGAAAGGAGAGAAGAAAATAGAAACTAAAATATAAAATGACATAATCTACTTATGAAAGTTATTTGCATTCTACAAACAAAATTGGTAATATACAAAAATTTAAAAAATTCACTGGGCATAGTGGCACAAACCTTTAATCCAGCTCTCAAAAGGCAGAGGCAAGTGGGTCTCTATGACTTTGAGGCCAGCCTAGTCTACATAGCCAGTTCCGTACCAGCCAGGACTACATATTGAGACCCTGTCTCAAAAAATCAATAATAATAATAATAATTAATAAAATAAGGCACAAATATTCTTCTAGTTTAGAGGATTATAGACCACTTCCTCTCCTTCTCAAAGTTTTAAGGTTGACTATATCAAATTTTTTGTTTAAAAGATTAAGACAAAATGGTATGAGGGCTCTGAGCTCTGGATGGAGACTTAAAGATCTATGCTTTTTTCCTCTTCTTTTTTCCTTTCCCCCTGGACCAGATTCATTACTGGCCTTCATGCACCTGAATTTTTTCCATCTGCACAGTGGGTTGGCACTAGTTTCTTTTACTCCAGATTGAACTGAAGTTTGTATAGCCCTTTAGCTCACTGACTACAAGGGCTCATATAAGTGTGGTCCAAGGAAAATGAGATGCAAGAGGGAGAGGAAAAGCTAAATAGGCACTAATTAATTTTAAAAGGAAAGATCATCTGCCTTAATGGGAATGCATATGTACTGTGCCCCTAGTCTGAGTCATAAGTGCACTCTGAGTTAGTTAGCAACTTCAGTTTAAGGTACTGTGTGATCCTTTGGGCTTTGAAGATACGAAGCCCCCATACATACATATGAGCTAAAATTGCGGCCTCCTTATGCAGTAGTGTGCACTCTGAATAATTACACACGCTAAGCAGTTCTAGCTGATGGATTGATGATGTGTGAGAGTAGTGCAACAACCACGTGACGAGGGAAAGGGCAGGCACATTCTGAAAGGCTGGTTTAATGTCCAAGCTCTTTGTAATTTGTGCTTTCTCTTTTAGCTGGTACAGACAAGTAAGCAAGATTTGATTATCTTGTTTCCTGTGAAAGGTTATTTAGCCCTTCAATCCCATTAATTCACTTTCTGCTGCACTCTAGTGCACAGGCCTTCCCCAGGTTATCAGTGTAGGAAGAGTAAATGGAGACACCAGGATCAGATTTCTAAAGGAAGAAAGTTAAAGGAAAGTTTGAAAGGGGTGACAGCCAACTGCCAGGAGCTTAGGAACTCAATTAGACTGAAAGACAACTATCTCATTATCTCATTCTGAAATTATCTAAATACATAAGAATCTAAAAGTTTTAAATAAACTTGTCCTACTGACAGTCTAGATGACTGCATTTCTCTTCTCAAAAAATTTTTAAACACCCACTTTCGTATTTATTTATTCTACGCCGCAAAGCAGCTGTGATAATTATGCTGTCAGATTCAGTAAGCTAATGAGCAGTCACCAGTGTGGAAGGGCTTGCCTCGGTGAGACTGCAGAGGAGTGCCGCCCTGCAGCCTGTCCCTTTTCTTTCCTTTTCTCTTTTTCTTCCCCCTCTTTTTCATTTTCTTTTACTATGAGTTAGGAAGGAGAGTCTGGCAGTCCACAATCAAATTGGAATCCTTTTGATTAACTAGTCTCTCTCTCTCTCTCTCTCTCTCTCTCTCTCTCTCTCTCTACCTCACCTACCCCTGCTTTTGAGGGTAAGGAAGCCTCAGGGGAAATCCCAGCTTTTCAGAGACCTCTCCTTGAGACAAGCTCCTAAGTCAGCGTGAATTTGAGTGACTCAGTCATCTGCGAAATGTACACGCTGTTTATTTGTTTAACTGCTTAAGCTATAACATGAGCTAAAAGAAAGTCTAGTACAAAGGACAGCTTACAGCATCGCTGTGCTATTGTCTCATGCATTTCAGCAAAACTTTGTGTCACCAATTCCAGCCCAGCACATCTATAAAAGTCAGAACCACAGCACTGAAGCAATGAAGTCCCGCCCCAACAAGGCAGGGTCAACCTTGAAGGCTGTTTCTTTCCTTTGGGTGTGAACAGCTTCAGGCAAACTATCATTAAGACATTTTATGCCTTTGGCAAATCAGACATAGAGGGGTTTTGTCTTTGTTAAATTGTGAGGTGTTTTGAGCAGCCCAGGTTGGTGCAGACTGTGAGTCTGGAATACCTAAGTGGAAAGGATGCCCTGAGCAAGTTCTGTGCCCGTGCTGTGGTGACCTATGGCCCCCGCCTCTCTTATGCTAATGTTCACAACAACCGAGGCGATGACTGTTTGTTTAAAATCATATTGTATATCATGAACGTCACAGGTGTTTTGCATATATCCACTTTTTAAAAACTTTACAGTAATCTTCTGGGAAGTTTTGCTTTCCTCTCATGCTAATTAGCCCCTTAAGTCAGTGTTAACTTTTGAAGAACTTGGCCCACAGCTCTGGAAAGTGTGCTCAGAAACAGCAGGTGTTTAATAAACACAGGCCCCGGTGGAACTGCAAGCTGCCAGGATGCTCAACTAATCACATACGAACTATCTCTGATGGATAAGGTTTAAGAGTATTTTGACTTTGTGATAGTGTGAAAGTCATATGCATTCAATAGAAACCATGCCCAAGGCCATGACTGTGGGATCCATCATTTTAGATTCAGCCAACCTCACATATTCAGGAGAGGAAATTGTGTCTGTGTCAAACATAGACTAATTTTTTTCTTGTCATTATTTCCTTTAAAATGCAGGCAACAACCGTTTACATAATGTGAGACTTTATTAATGTGATAAGTAACCTAGAGATGATTTAAAGGATATAGGAGAGCATTATATGCAAGTACTGTGCCATTTCATATAAAGGACTTAACATCCTTTTGTATACACTGCAGTCCTGAACCAGGAGCCAAGAGATGATTATATTTCAAATTTTGATCTTTTCATGGTCTCTCTCTCTCTCTCTCTCTCTCTCTCTCTCTCTCTCTCCTTCTTTCCCTCTCTCCCTCTCTCCATCTTTCCACAGTGGGCAGGGGAAGATTGCTTCTGTGTTCCCAGTCCCACAGTCACAAGGGGAAACAACCAATGCTCTACAGCGTACTATGTTGCTAAGTTAAGATATTCAGTAAGTTAGATGTATCAAATGCTTTTTTGTTGTTATTGTTTTGAGACAGGGTTTTATTAAATGCATTTTTGATTTATGATATCTATACCTTTTTTTGAGACAGGATCTCTCTATAGCCCCAGATGGCCTGGAACTCACTATGTAGACCAGGCTGGCCCAAATCTCCCAGAGATCCACCTGCCTTTGCTTCCTGAGTGCTGGGATTAAAGGTGTGTGTCACCACATCCGGATGATATCTATCTTCTTTCTTTCATGCTGGGGATTGAACCCAAAGACTTATAATAATGGGTCAATCACAATATAACCCTAGAGTAAGTGGAGAAGCATTTATCTAGATGTTTTTTCCTAATTTATGAAAGTTGTGTCTTAGAGTCTATTTAGTCTCTCTTTAGAGCCTAATGTATCTGACAGTCTTTAAATCTTTGCAGAGCGTATCTAGGCCACCAGGATGCTCAATGCTCATCCTTGTTGTCTGCAATCCTCCCCAACTTCATCCACTAGTGTTTATTGAATAAATATGCAGGGACCTGAATTAAATAGGAAGCACTTGACAACTATTGTAGATTCGTGAGTCACCTCTGAGTCAGTAGAAATTATTAGTAAATAAGTCTACCTGTTTGGGTAACAGATATTATGGCAAACATCTTGAAAGATCTTGGGAAATGATATATTGGTGCTTTTCTCTTTTCCTCTTTACAGAGAAGTCTTTGTTTACAGTTTCAGGAGTGAGGCTGAAGCCAGAAATGTGTGACCTTTTCACCTCCTGCCAGAAGGGTCATCACCCAGCCTGGTTTAGCAAATGCTGGTGAAAAGAAGGGTAAAGTCACCGAGATCCTCGCAGGTAAGTGATCCCAGCAGCCAGACCATGACCAGAACCAACAAGAATTGCTGCCAGGTGCAGAGAACACTGTTCTCCTCTGTCCTGGGTCTAGCATGCTATCCCCACCTATACGGACAGGTGGCCTGGCAGCCTCTTCAGACCCCCATTTCCTAAGCCAGAAAAATGATGGCAGTATACATCTCTCCCATCTCTCCTGCTCCTCGAGCTGTGGCAGACTGCTAAGTTAAAGCTTACAGATCCTTGTGAGGACCATCTGCCAACACGGGTGCAAGAGTGGGTTAGAATGACACTGTTTTCCTTTAACTAGATAGATCTCATTGTCAACTCACATGGTACATCAGAGAGATAAGGGTGATCAACGGTCCCAGTTTTCCCAAGGGTTGAGAGGTTTCCTGGGATGCAGGATACTCAGTGTGAACTGACACCATTCCTGCTCAGCCAAGATATTTTGCCATCTTAGTGGTAAATTATCTTCAAGGAGTAAAGGGTACTATGGTAGATTTTTCCCAAACCCACCCTACCCTAAAAGAAGTTCTCCTAGCAGGCACAGAACCCAGATGGTGTGTCCCCAAAGCCACCATAGTATAGATACTCCTTCATGTCACAGGAACACTTCCCATGTTCACCGAGGAACACTGAGCCTTCTGTGATAGGTAAAAGAGACAGTAACCTAGACAGAGGAGTCAAAGTGAAACCATGTGTAGGGTCAGCCAGGTGACCCTGGCTGCATTCTCAACCACAACCCTATATATGATTTGGCCACCTAGTTGCCAACCATGAATTGGTTGTGCCTCCTAGATGGTAACCAGTGACACACTCCCTACACGTGTGCTCCAGTGTCACATGGCATTTTCCAGCTCTTTGAGGTTTTCTCTTGGATCTCCATCTCTGTCACCATTTAAAGGTGTCTATATATCAAGGATGTCTGCCTTCCAACTCTTCAGCAATGATTTGTCTTCAAATAATAGGGAAGATTAGAATTACAGACTGCTCCCTAGAGCAGTTTATGAAACACTTAAGTTTGTATTTTCACAATATACAATTGGAAATACAATTGTCAATGCAATTATACAGCATCCTCCACACAGTGTTTTTCTGTTTATACCATTTCAAACTAGCTAGTCGAGAGCCAAATGAACTTTAACTGCAAGCTCTGAAGTGAAGTTAGCCCTCCATAACATTATCAAAGATGCTAATTCTTTTTTGTGCTGGGGATTTGAACCCAGGGCTTAGCACATAGGCAAGCACACAATCCCTAGGCCTATCAATGAAAAGACTAATGAAAATGGCCATGATGTTCCCACTCCTATTATTTCTGTTGTTGTAATGAACTTTATTCTCCTTAAGCAGCCAGAAGGGAGGGAGAAAACCCTGCTTTTAGGATCTACAGAGGACTTCCACAAAGAAGCTACCTATAGACATAAAATTGGTCACAACAGAAAATCAATTAGATATAGTATATGAAGCTCCATGCCAGCAATGGAAGAAGGGAAGATGCAGATCTAGCCTCTGTTGGAGTAACCACATGTCCCTAGGCCTCTGTACTAACATAGAGATAAGACCTGTAGAGGATGAATCACAAGAGGGAAATGCTGGAGCAATTAAACTGTTTAATAAATGGCTTGGGATCCATAAAATTGGAGAGTGCTAGAGTTAAAGGGACTAAAAGCTATAATCACATGGACACTGGGGGCCTGTAAATCTTTTCCACTGAATTGGATTTATGTTAAAATATTCATTTTTCAAGAGAGTAAAAATGTAAATTGGGGCATTAGGACTTGGTAACTGGCATTAGTTCCTCAAAATTAAAACTCTTGATAGAGTCTCAAAAAAATATCAGTTTCAAGCATTTAAATATATATAGCTATAGATACTGGTCTACCACAAAGAAACAGAAAGGAGCTAAAGTTTACTTGGTGTATACCATATATCAGGCACCATCACAGGCACTTTTGATGCTACTTAAAAGCTTGGTATGGTGAGTTGCAACTATAGTTTATAAACTCAGATTTTGATTGTGTTTGAAGCTTTCCTAGTTCTTACGATGGAGAAAATAATGCTTCTCAAATCCTTTATCATTACCTTTTTAACCCAAATGTTTCATTCCATCAGGAACTTAGAAATGTCGTTTAATGAGTTTTCTTTATTCAATCTGTTTTCTCTTGTTCATTGTTTTGACTTTATTTACTCTTCAGTTCCTTTCAGGACCCCATTCATGCTGTCTCATTTGCTTTGACTTACTAAGAAGTTTGTGTCCAGTTCTATACTGGACCAGAGACTTTATCCTCTCCCCTATGTTATATATTATATAACATGTTAAATATTATATTTATATAATATTATATATAATATTAAATATTATATACACAAAGAAAAAGTGAAGGAAGGTTATTACTATTATCATTGTCTTAAAAAAATCAGGCACAAAGATAGTCTGAGAAGAGAGTTTCTGAACAGTTTTAACCATTTTGATAATTTCCTGGGCCAGAAGGTCAATTTCTCAACAGGACAGATTGGAGGAGAGACATGAAAGAATCTGGAACCAGAGCTGGTACTTGTGGCCTGTCATGCTTGTGTTCATTTAAAATTTTCTTCAACCAAAAGACTTCTGTGGTGAAGAGAGGATTAGTCTGGTTTAGAGAGGTCTCCACAGAAGATGGTCTCTTGGATCAACTTGTCAACAAATAGACTTGGCTTAGGACTCTGTGATGCTTAGGACTCCTCAGATGCTTCTTCCTTCCCTCGCTAGGTTATCAGAATATATCACCACTCTACCCGGATTTTAGGAGTTTGAACTGAATTTCAAACTATCTCCTGATACTGAATCTTAATTGTCTGTGGTGACGGCAGATGTGATGAGGAACCAACGTTCCCATTGGATGGTGGAGACATGAGAGTTCCAAAGATGTAACTCAAGCCCCGTTGCACCACCAGACATAGAAAGACACACATACAACCCTCAGTAGGAGATCTGTCTCCACTAACACAGGCACCACTTTTTACAATGACTTCTGAAAGAAGCCAGAGAAACTCAAATTATTTCATCTAGGCATCATCTCAGGAAATATAGTAGCCTAGAAACCAGAGAACACTGTGTATCCTTTAGAAGAAGAGGGAGGAACCAATTAAGAAAATTAAAAAAAAAAAACGAGAACTGTCCACCCAGTATCTGAGATGAAAGAAGGGAAAAATGCATTTGGATAGTCCAAAGAAATCCGCCTTTGTGCATATTAGCAAGGAATTGGAAAAAGCCTATCTACATATTCTCACAGGATAAAACAGCATGGGCTGGGTGATGGGGCTGGTAGGCAGTATGCACAATGAACAGTTCTTATTCAAGCTAGACGAAAGCCATTAGGGTCCAGGGCTCAGACTTGAGTCCTGTTCTGGTCAAGGATTTTTATTAAGTGCTTGGATAAAATCAGAGACGATATATAACTTACTCATACAACTCACTGAAATAGGTACTACTATTATCCACTTTACAAAAATGGAAACTGAGACTCAATAATGTTAAGTAACTCCTCTATGGCAGTATGCCAAGTTCAAATGAAAATTTCTGGTCTGACTGTGTCTAGTGCCTGTGAGCTTTCCAATAACCACATCCCTATCACATTTATAGACTATACCACTACTGATCATGATTCAAAGGATTCAGACCAGGCTAGAAACTAATGAGCAGCAAGTCAAAACAGCACTTATTCCTGTCACATTTTATCTGATTTAAACTCTTATGCATTGGGCTTAAAATGCCAGAACTTAAGTAAGGCTGTGACTTAGTGGAAATTGGCACTTTTAAGTACAATGTGAATTAATAATATACTCTAGCTGCCTCCGATATATCATGCTAATCTTTTCAGGCTACATACATGAAAGACATGTCCAACGAGAAGAAAAATAGTTTACTCTCTTCTGATCAGAACGCATTTAAATTATAATGCTCAACTCCACATATTATTAGTTTGTAGATTTAATCTTGCATAATCTTTACACTACTAAGACATAGGTTCAGTTAGTCACCAGTTTACAGAGAAGAACATCAAGAATCAAATATAAATAGCTAGGAATTGATGCACAAACTCTGTCCTGAAAGCCAATGCTTTCCCCAACACACCTCCAACTCTGCTGCATGCCCCAAAGGGGACTTCCAAGAAGAACAAAATATGTGGGACAAATCACAGGGAGGGACAGCTGCTACCAGAGAAAACCCAGGAGCCAATGAAACTCCTTCCAGTGGGTAGAAGGCTGTCACAAAGCAAAGGGGCTGACCCTCCACTGGGCAACTGCAGAATTAGCAGACTAAGAGCTCACAGTTGCTAATTAGGTGGTGCAGGAAGAATCTCTGAACCAGTTCACTTGCCCATGAATATAGAATGGAGTTCCCACAAAAGTGGTGGGCTTCCTCTGCCTCACTGAAGATATGAAAAGCTGTAGCAGAGATTCCTATACTGGAAGCCAGAACAGCTGATCGCTCAGATTCTTGAAATGACCTATGAACAGCTGTGGACGAGTTATATTTGGAATTCTTGGAAGATCCTGTTGTTGAAAGAATAGGTAGAGTCATTTTATTTTCTAAGAAAAGATTTTTAAGTCCAAATTTTAAAAATTACCCTCTTTAATTATAAATGGAATATAAATTATGTTTGCGCTTTGTTCATTTTTCTCCTTTAATAGATTTGCCTATTGGAATGCTTAATAAAAATTATGTAAACTCTAAAACATTATTCAAATCTTCCTTCATTCCTTGACTCTTTAAAATAAGCATTTATGGTGATGTCAATTTTATTTCTTCCTATGTTTTTGTTGACGCTTTTGATAGTACACTTGACTTTTTTAGATTTTAAAAGATCTTATTTATTTACTTTTATGGCTGTTTAGTGTGTATGAGTGCTGTACTTGCATATATGTAAGTGCACCATATGCAGAGGCCACAAGGCACTGAATCCCCTGGAACTGAAGTTAAGGACAGTTGTTAGTGGCCATATGGGTGCTGGGAACCAAACCCATGTCCTCTGCAATAGCTGTAAATGCTCTTAACCGCTGAGCCATCTCTCCAGCCCACAACTGACTTTTAAAAAAACAATATATTTTTACTCCATTTGATATTTAGTCATCATTGCCTCTCCCATAGGGTTTCTGCTCTAGAGCATCCATAACCAATGGTACTTCCTGGCTCATTAGTGGGTTGGAAGGACAACATGATTTGTTCTGGCCAACAGATTATGAAAGGAAATAACTTGTGTCACTTCTGGGCTAAGCATTCATTGGATTGCTAGGGCAAGGCTCTCCAGACCTGTTTTTATTTTTTTCTAAATTTCTCTATATTACATGGACCAGCAGCACTCAAGATAAATTCAAGATGAGGAGCCATAGAACTGCGTTCTGAGATGACATATGATGAACATATAGTGGGAGAGAGAAATAAAACTTTATACTTGGCCTAGAGAGATGGCTCAGCAGTTACAGGCATGTACTGCTCTTGCAGAGGACCTGAGTTTAGTTCCTAGCACCTACTTTGGGCATTTCACAACCTCCTACAATCCTAGCACCCAAAGATCTGATGCCATCTTCTGGTCCCCATGGGCACCTGCACTCACACATACATACATACATAAATACATACATACACACACACACATACATACACACACACATATAAATAAATAACTAAATAAAGCAGTTTATACTGTTTCTTGAGGGTGCTACAATAGTATAACTTACACTTCCTGACCAGTACTGGGCACATAAAATATAGACCCGTGCTGTCCAGTATAGTGTTGCAAATGCTACATATATTTATATTTATTTGGTTTTATTTTTTGTTTATTCGGTACTGGGGATTGAACCTAGGGCCTCATGAATGCTAGGCAAGTACTCTACTAGTGGGCTAGATCCTCAGTTCTTTTATTTCTGTTTAAGTGACTAGATTCACCCCAAAACACCAGTTCTTCAGTCTCATGACATTTCAAGGGCACAAAAGAAATGGCTACCATGCTCAGTGCAGACAAAGTGTATTTCCATCATTGTAGAACGTTCTGTTGGACAGGGCTGCCATAGAGAGCTAGGATTTTTGTGAATGTTGGTAGTGATACCTAACATGTCTTAATGTTTTAAGTATGTGCATCTAATAGCACTTTAGAGTTAGTCTTTAAGAGTTTCATCATTTTAAAAGTGAAGTGTCTGGGAGAAACCAGTAGAGATTACCTTCTAGAAGAAAAGAGAGCATCCTGAGCAATTACATTTCTTAGAATCAAAGAACTCAAGGGTCTTTTCCAGAAGGTTACATTGACACCTTTTTATTACTCCTGACACTTTTTCATAAATGAGCCCCAAGGGTACTGTCATTTTAGTCCATCATCTCAGAGCCTCGGAGCCCGTATTTCGTACTGTAACTCTGCTGTATTACTAAGTGAGACAATGTATACTGACAGAATTATCTGATGTGTGCAGTGATGAACTTACCTGGTCTATTATCATCATGGTGAGTACTACATTGAACAATACAAAAAGATATTATGGGAGCCCAAAATGAATTAAGATATAACATGATTGTTCTAATTCATTTATGATTCATTCAACAAACATTTAAGAACTAGAAACACAAAAATTAATATTTCCCTTAAGTGCACTTACTTCAACAGTACATATACATATACTTTGTATAATTGGAATTATACAAAGATTGGCATGCCCCTGTACAAGAATGACAAAATTTGTGGTGTTCGTCCTGCTCTCTCTCTCTTTCTCTCTCCCTCCCTCCCTCCCTCCCTTCCTCCCTCCCTCCCTCCTTTTCTCTCTAGATTTCCTGCAGCACTGGGGATGAAAACCAGGGCCTCACAAATGCTAAGCAACCACTTTACCACTGAGCTACATCCCAGCACATTCCATATTTTCTCATGTCAACATACTGAAAGTGGGCGTAGGGGTCACTGGGCCCCTTTATGTTCCTCTTCCCAGGGTGCCACAGTGACTAAATCTCTGCTCTTTGCTTTTCAAAAATCATGTATTTCCTTAGAGGATCTTATAGTCTAATGGAGAGTTAGAAGGAAATAAATACAAAATCCAGTGACAGCACAGCACAGAACAGATGGTGAGCTTTGTCTTGATGCTGGGATTTGCCAGGTGGGCAATTGAAGGAGAAGATAGCTCTGTGCAAGGGGCCCACAGAAGGAAGAAGAAGCTTTTAACTGTGAGACATTGAACCCCACAACCCAAAGGCTTAATCCACAAAGATTATCATTTCACATAAAAGTCCAAAAGGGGGCCTGCAAGATAGCTCAGTGGGTAAAGGTACTTGCAGCCAAGCTTGATAACCTGAGTTCAGTCCCTGCAACCTACATGGCAGAAGGAGAGAGCTGAGACCTGTGGGTTGTCCTCTGACTTCTACACACACCACGGCATGCACACCCTGCACACACAAAAATAAATAAGCATAACTTTTTTTTTTAAGTCCAGAAGTAGGTCTTAGTGAGTCAGCACCACAAGGACTTGGTTCTTTCTCCTTTGCATCACCTGTGCCCTTCAGTGCCATAGGACTCAGGCTTGTTCTCACAATCATAAGATGCTGCCACATGTCCAGGCTTCATATGCAGATACACCTCTCTCCAGTAGAAAACAGAAGAGATGTCTTCCATTGTGTGTGTTTGTTTCTAAACAGGGGCCTCACTCTGTAATTTGGGCTTGCCTAGAACCCATGGTAGTGTTCCTGCCTCTGCCTCCCAAGTGCTGGGATTATAGGCATGAGTCACTACACCCAACTCCCTTGAGCTCCTTAAAAGAAAAAGCACAATTCTCTTTACATTTTACTGACCAGACTGTCACATCTCCACTCCTAAAATGTTAGCAGGAAAATCAGTTGGTTTAGAATACTAGTTCTTTCTCAGTCTGAAGTTGGACCCACCTTTCCTAAGAGGCAAATTTCTGAAGACTTGTGGCGACAACATATTTGTGTGCCTTATGTGCCCTGTCACAGCAATGGCTGTCAACTGGAGGAGAAAGGAATGACTGTTGGGAAGACAACCAATGGGATCGCTAAAATTGCCTGTAGGGTCCAGTTGGTGAGCAGGGGCTGTGAAGAATGTCTGGAAGGCTTCCAGTCTGGGGGCCCGGGTGGCTTATAATATGATTCATAGTCAAATAATTACTTTTAGAGAGAAGGTTCTAAGTTTGAGGTACTGTGTATATCAGACAGAACTGCTGGGCTGATTGAAGGAAATAGACACTGCTGTATTTGGGTGTCACCTAACAGTGTTGGTCCTTGAAGTCACAGGATGTGATTGCTCAAGAGAATGTGCACAATGAGAAGACACACAAGAACTGTACTAGACCAGCATTTAGGGGCTGGGAGAAGAAGGCTCAGCAAAAGATGCTGCTTTAGTTTGGATGTGTTTTATGCCCCAAAGATTCATGTGTTAAGGCTTGATCCCCAGTGCAGTGATACCTTTAAGAAGTGTAGCCTTGGACTGGAGAGATGGCTCAGAAGTTAAGCACTGATTGCTCTGCCAGAAGCCCCGGGTTTGGTTCCTAGTACCTACATGGCAGCTAACAACCATCTGTAACTCCAGTTCCAGGGGAATCAGATGTCCTCTTCTGACCTCCGTGGACATTGCATGACACAGGTGCACTTACACACATGTAGGCAATACATTCATGCATATAAAAAACTAAAAATAATAAAATATTTTTTAAAAAAGAAGTGGGGTCTGATAGAGAGATGACTCAGAGGTTAAGAAGAGTCCTTGCTGCTCTTTCAGAGGACCCAAGTTTGGTTCCCAGGAGCCACATTGGGGAACTCACAGTCACCTGTACTTCCAGCTCCAAGTGGTCCCACACCCTTTTTTGGCCGCCACAGATACCCATAGGTACATGCACATACATATACATATACACATAGATAAAAATATGTCTTAAAGAAGAAGGATGAGGAGAAGGAGAAATGATGTCCAACGCACAGTCTTTGGGGGCACTGGGGATACTGCTCTCCTCACAGAAGGGATTAGTGTTGGTCTCACAGAGCGGATTAGTTCTCTCAATAACGGGTTGTTATTGGGGCTGGAGAGATAAATCAGCAGTTAAGAGTACTTGTTGCTCTTGCAGAGGACTCAAGTTTTATTGCCAGCACCCACATAAGGCAGTTCATAACCACCTGTAACTCCAGCTCCAGGGGAATCTGATACCTCTGGACACACACACACACACACACACACACACACACACACACACACAATTCAAAACAATAAAAAAGAATGTGCTGTTACAAAGTAAGCCACCATACGTATTTGCTCCCTTCTACATGCAGCTAGTACCCATTCCTTTGCTCTGCTATGTTGTGACATAGCCAGGGTGCTGTCACCAGAACACTGGTTCCACATTGCTTGGGTCCTCCAGCTATCATAACTGTGAGGCAAATAAATCTTCTTCCTTCATAAAATAGCTAGTCTCAGGTTTTTTCTTATAGCAACAGAAAATAGACTAACAGAGACAAAGCATTCGCCAATAGAAACTGATGGAGTGAGGGGGGTATTGCATGGAGAAGGGAGGAAACTAGAGTTAGTCTATGTGATGGAAGTTATGAGACTCCTGTAGCCCACAGAGCAGGAGGGAGTAAACTAAGAAAGGCTATGGTTTCATCGGCTACTCATC